TTATTAAAACCTTGGTGCCTCTTTAAGCCCACTGATACCTACCTTTTAAGGCTAGCCATTTTGACTAAATAAGGATCCATATTTTTAGAATGCCCTCACTGTTACTTACAAGATGAATCAGATAATGAACTGGTAATGTTTTCACAGAGGGTTGGATTTGAAGGCAATAGAAACATACCCGTTTTACACGAATGCCTTGCAAAGCTGCTATTCTACAAGGTGTTGGTTGGTTGCCACTATTTCCCAATCCAAGCTGACCATTACCATTGTAGCCCCAAACATAAACCTTAGAGAGGAATACAAATCAAATTAGTATTCAGATGATAGGATGAGGGTAAAAGCAAAACATGTATACTGCAATAGTTTATAATACACTATAAACTTATACTTTTCCCCTTAATGATCCTGAGATTGTTTTCACCATTAAGATTAAACAAATGTTACTAATACCAATTCTGTACTCCATGAAGACATTCAAATATAACTTAGATCAATAAAACTCCACCTTCTCCAATCCTACTATATGGACACAGAGTGATGACATTACTCACTGGCCAGGGAAAACTCTGTTGTTCCAGTAACATGGTCAATGCTAATCTCTTAAAACTTCTACAACCAGGAACAATGGTACTTGGCTTTGTGGACTCAAGAGGTGTGACAGATAGTTTGAGTGAATGGTCTTTTAAAGCTTACAATTATATCTCATATTGAGGAAAATGAGCTAGAAGGGGGCTAGAGTTGCCTTTAAAGTAAAAGCAAATTCAGAACACTCATTCTAGTTTTCATTAAGCAATTTAATAGTAAAATATCTGGGTTGGGATCAGTAGAGTCTGAACTGCTAGCAAACTTATGTTGAAACCTAGTGTTTGCTGAATAGTTAATTCCGGGCCTAAAAATAGGAAAATTCTAAAGTTTTAACTCTCAATGAATCTTTTAACAATACAATTACTGTTCTAGTTACAGACATTGCTTCAGCTTACATTTCTATCCAAGTCATGGAATATTTACTATAAAGAACGTATATACTGATCAGCCACAACATTAAAACCACTGACAGGTGACGTGAACAGCATTATTTTGTAACAATGGCATCTGTCAAGGGGTGGGATACATTAGACAGCAAGTGAAAGACAGCAAGTCACTTCTTCAATTTCATGTGTTGGAAGCAGGAAAGATGGGCAAACAAAAAGATCTGAGTGGCTTTGAAGGCTAGATGACTGGGTCAGAACATCTCCAAAACGACAGGTCTTCTAGGATGTTCCCGGTATGCAGTGGAGTTGTGCAAGGAAGGACAGCTGGTGAACCAGTATCAGGGTTGTGGGCATCCACTCACTGATGCACATGTGGAGTGAAGGTTTGCCTACCTGTCCACTTTTATGCAATCTTCAGATTGATGGTGCTAATATATAAAGCCCTAAACGGTTTGGGACCTCAGTATCTAGCAGACTTTACTCCACCAAGAACTGCCTATCCTACACATTCATTCCAGGTAACTTGTCTGAGCATGCTGACTCTGAGAGAGACACAGAGAGAGATGACTAGGAGCTGGGCCTTTTCAGCAGTTGTACCCAGATTATGGAATCAAATACAGTGGTGCCCCGCACAGCGAGGTTAATCTGTTCCGGATTAACCTTCGCTGTGGGAAACATCGCACTACGGAACAGAAAAAGGCATTGGAACACATTAAACAGCGTTTAATGTGTTCCAATGCCATAAAATACTTACCGTTGTGCGATGTTTCCCAGGGGCCGGCAGCCATTTTCGCGCCCTCCCCTCGCACAACGAGGGCGCCAAAATGGCTGCCATCAGCTGGCCAGCGGGTCCAAAATGGCCGCCGGAACAGCCGAAAGGGCCCGGGGTGCAGCGTTTTCGCGCCCTTGGTAAGCAAGGGGAGCGCGCAAAAACGCTGCCGGAAGCCCCGAAATGGTTGCACGCAGCTTACCGACCTTCGTTCTGCGATTTCCCGCCTATACGGGCACCGTTTTGCGATCGCATTTGCGATCGCTAAAACGGCCTCGTAGAGCGAATTCATCGCTCTACGAGGCGCCCGTTGTGCGAGGCACCACTGTACCTCCAGACATCCGCTTGGCCCCCTCGCCGTTAACCTTTAAAAACTTCTAAAAACCTGCCTTTTTAGACAGGCATTTCCACCAATGGAAACCTGTTGAAATTATCTGCCTTAAAATAATCATACCGCCATTTTAAATATTTAACTATTTAATGTTTTAATATGTTATTGTTTTAACTGTTGTTACATTTTACAATGTTATGTATGTGGAACTTATTTTATACTTGTATTGATGTTTTCTGTTTGATTGTGTTGTGAACCACCCAGAGTAGCCTGGCTAGATGAGCAGTATAGAGATTAAATAAAGAAATGTCATGCAGAAGAGCTACTGTAGCACGAATTGCTGAAAAGCTGAAGGCTGGCCATGATAAAAATGTGTCAGAACTTACACTGCATTGCATTTTGCTGTGTATGGGGCTGCATAACTGCAGACTGGTCAGAGTGCCCATGACGACCCCCATCCATTGCTGAAAGCACCTATAATTGGGAAGTGAGCATCAGAACTCGTCCATGGAGCAATGGAAGAAGGTTGCCTGATCTGATGAATCACATTTTCTTTTAGATGAGGTGGATTGGTGATGTTTACTTGTGGAAGAGATGGCAGCAGGATGCACTATGGTAAGGCAGGCTGGTGAGACAGTGTTATGCTCTGGACTATGTTCTGCTGGGAAACCTTGGGTCCTGGCATTCATGTAGATGTTACTTTGACACATACCACCTACCTAGAAACTGTTGCAGGCCACTTTGTGGCAATGGTGTTCCCTGATGACAGTGGACTCTTCCAGCAGGATAAGGCATCCTGCCACACTGCAAATATTGTTCAGGAATGGTTTGAGGAACATGACAAATTGTTCAAGATGTTGCCTTGGCCTCCAAATTCCCCAGATCTCAATCTGATGGAGCATCTATGGGATGTGCTAGAACACTAAAGCCGATCCATGGAGACCCCAACTGGCAACTTACAGGACTAAAAGGCTCTACTGCTAATATCTTGGTGCTAGATACCATAGGACATGTTCAAAAGTCTTGTGGACACATCAAAGCTGTTTTGGCAGCATGAGAGAGACTTACAAAATATTAGGCAGATGGTTTTAACGTTTCTGCTGATCAGTATAGAATTAAAGGTTACCAATGCTAGTTTGGCTATTGTTCTCTTCTATCGGTGTAATTAACAAAAACAGTGCCATGAAATAGAAGGAAGGGATAATGTAGATAATTCCTCGAGCCAGTTATGTAGCCACCGTACCATCATTCTTAAAGAAATGCACATTCTTGAAGAAATGATATCTAGTAAAGCATTTTTTCTAAATTTACCCTGTACCTAGAACCCATTTTAATTGCCCTGTAATTTACTTTAATCAACAATATTCTTCCCTGTGGATGAAATATGGCTTCTAGAATAGCCTCCCATGTGGACTACCAGCCAGAACTTGGGCTACATGGGAAAGAAACAGGTGAGCCCTGAGTGGAGTAACATTTATCTTACTGCTCTTTTAAAACAAAAATCCAAAACTATTCTTATTGCTACAGACAGTGGTTCTAATCTGTAGAGTAGCTGTTTACATGCTGGTATTCAGGGCACAAGAAACCACATCTCCAATGAAGATGAAAGCTATCAGGTTGAAGAGCAAGATGTTGTCAACAGTTTAACCCAGAACATTATGCAATACATCACACAGAATAGCTGATATAGCAATTCGGAAAGATCGTCTTACCTCCCCACTTTCTAGCACTGCCATTGAACACATCTGACCACAAGCAATGTTAATTACTATTTTATTCTGTAAAGAGCTAGTAACTCTTCGAGGGATTGGCTGATTTGCTGTTGAGCCCGATCCAACTTGGCCTGAATTATTATAGCCCCATGTATACACCTGTAAAGAAGAGACTGAAAGTATAATACAACATAGTAATCACAGCTTTGAGAGAAAGGACACAGTGCACAGAAGATCTGCAGAGGTTATATTTTATAATCTTATTTTAAATTATTTTTCTTTAAGTAGATTCTGTTGATTGGAATGAACATTAAACTGAACTGGTAGTTTTTATAATGAACATTGGTATTAAAGCTAATAACACACACAGACACACACAGAGAGAGAGAGAGAGAGAGAGATTGCTTGCTCATTTTGCTCTTCATTGATTCTTTTTTATTTCAAATTCTCCATCATTCTCCACAAATAAAAAGCTTTGAGAGAGCAGTCCCACATCCTGATAACATGGGCAGCCCGCTGAAAATGCGGTAGTTTCAAGACTGTAAAAATGTTTGTCATCTGTGTTGTAAAATGTTTGTCATCTGTGTTTGCTCCAAGACTTCAGTGTCAGGGACCCTGCTCTGTGATACTGGGAAAATGGATGAGATGAAAATGATTGAGCTTTCTTGCATAATGTTGATATATAGTTCAAGTCTTCACTCCATAAAATACAGACGATAGAACAACAACTTCTTACATCTTCAGCTTAACAGAAAAAATGATTCTCTCTTAATTCCACAGAGAGGGTAGAAGTCTTCTGAAGGCAGTGATGGCTTTAGAGATTCATGAGGTCACTTAATTAGCAATGAGATAGTGCTGGAGACAGTGCTGCCAAGATACATGAATTTATCCACTGCAGAAAGTGGGTGTTCATACACCTTCACAACTGGTTTCTCATAAGGTACACCCAGAGCCGGATGGTACAACATCACCATCGTATTAGCATTATCTTCAGGCTGAAAGTGTTACAGGCAGAGAAGAATACATCAAGATTTCTTAATGCAGAAGTGTGACTGCATTAACAGCACAATCACTGGCAAGTAAAAGTTCATGCATTATGCAAAATGAGACTTTATTTACAGCCTGAAGATGCTGCAGACTGAACAGTTTCATGTGAGTACCGAAAGTTGACAGCAGCATTTTCTTCCCAAAGCATTGCAAAACACAAGACTGAAAAGAGCTGGAGAAAGTACACAGCCTTGCTTTATACTATTAGTAATGGGAAAGGAATAAAAAAGATTATCATTGTTGAAGATGTAAGTTTCCATGCTGTGTGGAATTCTTGAAAAACATGTGTGAATTTCTCAGGACACTCAAATTTCATGATCTTTCATAGATCTTCTCTGCAAACCATGTCAAAAGCTTTAAACAGACCATCATTCCTTATGGAAGCCATATTGAGTTTTTGGTAAGGGGCCTCTCTTCAAGTGCCCTATGAGATAATTCAGGAGCATTTTTGCCAGAATTAAAAAAGGTTTCCAGCAGTAACTCCCCTCTTAAGCCTTCTTCCTTTCTTCCCATCTGCCTTTCTGCATCCCCACACACCACCTTCAAGAGGTTCCCCTACTGCTACAATGTTGAAGAGAATCCAGAAGAAACTGATTGGGTTAATAGCAAGTCCAAATGATGCTCTCTATCAGAAGGGTGTTCTTCTTGATATTTCGCTTCCCAGCAGATTACCTCTTCATACCACCTACAGTTGCAATGACAAAAATTTACCTCCATATCATCTGGGAATGTCACATTCTTCTGCATTTGATCAGCTATACTGCATTTCTAGTCAAATTAGAGTATTCATGTCTAATAAGGGCTGTTTGCATGTAGTAGGTTAATTAGCACATGCAAATGTAATAAAAATTCAGTGCAAAAATAGACACCCACACCCACATCTTCCTGTGGGACAGACAACTACAGAAAGAAAGAGAGGTTACCTACCTGCAACCATGGTTCTTCTAGTGGTCCTCTGTGAATTCACACATATGGATCTTGTCTGCACCTGCGCTGACGTTCTCAGAAGATTCTAGAGCTAAAAGTAACAATTTTATGGCATGATCCCCTATGAGGCACATGCTCTTCCCACTCACGATTCCCCTCATTTCCCAAAATTTGTCCGCTGGGCATAAAAGTATGGTATAAATAAGACACCCGTGACAGACAGAGGGGAGGATGGGTGGGCAGTGTGAATTCATAGAGGACCACTAGAAGAACCATGGTTACAGGCAGGTAACCTCTCTTTCTTCTTTGTGGCCTCTGCTATCTCTGGGGGTAAAAATGTTGAAACTGAGTCTATCCTACTTTCAGCACATCATGAGTGTCATGGGCTGTGAATATGTGGATTAAACCATGTAATGAAGATGGGATATGTAGTTGTGAACAATGTAAAATGGATTCCATATTGGTTCTATGTAAGAATGATTTTGTATGATGGGAATGTTTTTCCTTTAGACCAGTACAAGCCAATACAAGATAAGAAGACCAGACACTTGCTATGGCGGAGAAGAGAACAGATGGAGAAAAACAACACCTGTTTCTCGTGAGAAGAGAAGGAGGGGACTTCTATCACATCACGTTGTGATTGGATAATAGCGTGGGAGATGAAGAAGACAGGAGGAGCCAAGAAGATAGAAAAAGGAACTTTTGCCATGTGCAGTGTTCCATCTTGTTCCTATTTTTTCTTTTGATAGAACCATAGATTTTTCTAGGTCTTTTCTCCTGCTGCTCCATGCAGGATTAAGACTGGGGAAGATGTAGAGAGTTAAAGAAAGAAGAGAAAGGGGGGCTTTAAGCCTTTTGCCTACCCTAAGGAAGCTTTTAGAGATTTTTAGAGATTTTGTAATCAAAAGGGAATTAGTTGCCTTAATTGGAATTGTAACAATCCTTGAAAATGCTTTGTTGCTATGCTTTAGCATCAAACTGACTTTATTCTGTAAATCTATATTTTTTCAGTAAAAAGATCAATTATAAAAACGTTTAGTCTCTTGAATAGTGAAGCCTGTCTTAGCCACTCCCAGAGGGGGATGCAAGGCCACAATGCTACTGAGTCCTACCTAATTGAGCCAAGTAGATCTTAGGACTACAAAGCTCATGTGTAACTTCCTGCTGAACTTTGTTAAGTGTAAGCAAGTATCTTTTTAGGGCAATCTTGTAAGAAGGAGCTTGTTGTACGCCCTGGATACTTTGTAAGAAGGAGCTTTGTAAGAAGGAGCTTGTTGTACGCCCTGGCTGAGGTCACCAGGACTCAACCCAGCTGAGTAGGGAACTCAGACTTCCAGTTACTCTCTGTCTGACTGACCAAGTTCTTCCTAACAGGAAACTGGGTTGTGACAATGAGAAGGCAGGATTCTCTGGAAAAAACAATATTGCTAGGAATGGTGGAAGGCCATTGGCCTATAGTGTCCCCTGAGGTTTTGTTTTGTCCCCTATGCTATTAAAAGGAGAGGTTCTCTGGGGGGGTTTCTATCTCTCATTCCTATCTAAATCCAAGGAAGTTGTTTCAGGTCTAAAAGCAAAGCAAAGCAAAGCAAAGCGTGTTGCTTATATACTGCCCCATAGTGCTTCAAGCACTCTCTGGGTGGTTTACAATTTAATTATGCAGGCTACACATTGCCGCCCCCCCAGCAAGCCGGGTACTCATTTTACCAACCTCGGAAGGATAGAAGGTTGAGTCAACCTTGAGCCAGATACCTGGGATTGAACCCCAGGTCGTGAGCACAGTTTTGGCTGCAGTACAGTGGTTTAACCACTGCGCCACGAGGCCAGTGTCTGGTATCAGTAATGGATTGGATGAGGGTGAATAAACTGGAACTTAACCCAGACAAGACAGAGGTGCTCCTGGTCAATCGAAAACCAGATCAAGGAGTAGGACTGGAGCCTGTGCTAGCTGGAACTACACTCCCTCTTAAAACACAGGACCACAGCTTGGGGGTGTCCCTGGATTCATCTCTGAAACTGGATGCGCAGGTTTCAGCAGTGTCCAGGAGTGCCAAAGGGTCCAAAATGCCACAGCCAAATTGTTAACCAACTGGAGCTGGTTATGAGGAACACATAACTCCCCTGTTGCAGCTGCTCCACTGGCTGCCAATCCATTTCTGGGCACAATTCAAAGTTCTGGTTTTAACCTATAAAGCCCTAAACGGCTTGGTTCTAAGCCGGGGTCCTCAACCAGTGCCGGTCCATGGGCTTCCTGGAACTGCCAGGGGTCCTCAACCGGTGCCGGTCCATGGGCTTCCTGGAACTGGACTGCGGAGACAGATATCCGCTCCCCCGCACGCTGGCACGGTGGGCGAGTCGCACTCACGGAGGGACATGGCCCCTCCATGAGCGCCACATACCCACCCATGAGTGCGACACACCCCTCTGTGAGTGCGGCACACCCACACGCGAGCACGGGGTGCCCCCGTCCACCCATGCACAGAGCCCACACCCCCAACCGGTCCATGGTCTCAAAACAGTTAGGAACCACTGGTCTAAGCTATCTAAAAGATGGCATCTCCTTCAATGAGCCTGCCCAGGCATTAAGATCATCAGGGGAGGCCTTCTTCTTGATCCCACCACCCTCACAGGTGCACTTGGTGGGGTCACTGGAGAGGGCTTTCGCTGCCGCTGCTTTCAGACTTTGGAACTCCCTCCCACAAGAGGGACTGGCCCCATCTTTGCCGTCCTTCTGCTAGCAGGCAAAGACCTTTCTCTTCAGGCAAACTTTCCCTTAATAACTGGTGGTCTGATAGGAGTTTTTAAATGGATTGTTGTGTTCTGTTGCTTTATAGATGTTTTAATATTGATTTTAAATACTGTTTTTAAATGATGTGAACTGCTTTGGGTCCTTTTAAGGAGAATGGTGGGATAAAAATATTTTAAATAGATAAATGCAGCAGGAAAAGAGGAAGATCGAATATGAGATGGACTGACTCTCTAATGGAAGTTGAGTTTACAAGAGCTGGGCAGCTGAGGATAGGACATTTTGGAAACCACTCATTCATGGGGTAGGTCATGAGTCAATCAACTCGAGAGCTCATAACAAGAATGTGTTACAAGAACTGGCCTCTAGAGGAAACTGGACACTATGCTACATACAGTGGTGCCTGAACTTAATGACCGTCCTGAGTTGTGACCAAACTGAGATACGGCCAGCTCCAGTCACAAAATTTTGCTTTGACTTGTGACCGGAGCTTTGAGATACAATCAGAAAAAAGGTGCAGAAAAGGCAGGGAATTTAAACTACTAACTGTTGGTCAGAGAAAAGGCTGCTTCTTTGTAGCTCATTCGCCCCAGTGGTTAGAGAGAGTGCATTCTAAGAGAGGCTTCGGACTGCCTGCTACTGCTTTTATTTTTGCTTTTTGACTTCCTTTTTTAAAACAGAGAGACTGTTCTGGGTGAGTACTGGAGTTTTGCAGTGTTGTTTTGGGTTGGCCAGGGGCTTGCTGGAATGTTTTTTTTAATTCTGTGGCTACTCGGGTTTGGGCAGGGTGGGGAGGTTATGTTTCTGTGCTTTGATGGGTCTTGCACTGTGTTTTTAGTGTGGTTTTAGTGGGGAGGGGGTTCGTGTATTCCTATGGGAAATGGTGCTTTGAGTTACAACCAACTTGAGTTACGACCATCATTCCAGAACGGATTAAGTTCGCTACTCGAGGCACCACTGTATAGGGTTCACTATTATCCACAGTTTCCAGCATCTGCAGGGCGGTTGGAACCGATCCCCTGAATGTACTGTCCAGAAACACAACAGCCTAGAAAATATAAATGGTCAGTTCTGAGTCCATTAGTAGCTTAGAGAGGAAATATGGTTCTGTAATCCTAGCACCTTTCATCTAGAAAAGCCCTAGGACATCAATTATACTACTTAATGATGTATTTAAGCCTGTACTTCCCAATTATCCTAGAAATTCAAGACAAAGAAAAAAATAATTCAGTTGAAAAACACATACTGTTTATTGTATGAACAAACAGGTTAATAACTTATTTCCTGAATATGTTCAGTCTCCAGCTCTGGCAAAACTCAAGAGGAGAGTGATCTGTATCAACCTACAAAATTTGACTTTAGCACTAGCTGTATCACTAAGTACAACCAATTTATTTGAGTTTGTGTAAAGATTAATTTTACACAAAAGCCCAAAAATGGATTGTAAGACTATATAATTAAACTTTCAAGTTCTTATTTATGTATAACATATTTATGTATAACTTATGTATAACTTACAACCTATTGTTGTTGTTTAGTTGTTAAGTCGTGTCCGACTCTTCGTGACCCCATGGACCAGAGCATGCCAGGCCCTCCTGTCTTCCACTGCCTCCTGGAGGTTGGTCAACTTACAACCTAGTTTCATCTAATGCAAATTTCTTGACACTTTTTGCATTTAGTTTAATACAAAGTTCAGAAGCAATGTACCCAAGAGTATGATAACTTTTCTCACCTCTCCATCAGATGTTAAGATCACAGAATGATGTGAACCACAAGCAACTTCAATCACTTTTTTGTTTATCAAATTGGTAGAAATTTGACAAGGCACTAAACTATTATTGGTTGTTCCATTTCCCAGCTGACTGTAAGCATTATGACCCCAGGTATATACTTCTCCTTCTACAATATAAAGAAGCAGCCTATTAAAATGCAATAATGAAAAACTAGCCATATTACAGAGTAAATAGCTGATTCCTAATGACATTACATATCATTACATAAATCATAAATTGTAAAGTTTTGATTGTATAACAAAAAAGAGTGTCTTTAAGCTCTAGAAACTTCCGAGAGGTTCAGCACAGGCGCAGAACAACCCAATTGTGTGCATTCACAGAGGCCACAAAGAAGAACAAATACATTTAAGTCTAACATTTAAGACTAACAGATTTATTCCAGTGTGAGCTTTTATGTGTTGCAATCCATTTCTTTAGACACACTAGCTGAGATCTTTTTGCTTTAGCATAGTAAATCATACTAGAGTAGGCCCATTAAATCAGTGGGGATTTAGTGAGACAACTCCTCTGTAATTTCATATATTCAAACAGGCTGCCCTAGTTATGACTTACTTTACTACAGTAAGTCACAACTAGAGCAGACCCACTTGTATCAGTGGAACTCACAGAGGAGTCGATTCACCAAATCCCCACCATTCAGCAGGCCTACTTTACTGTAACTTGCTACACTCAGCAATAGGATTTCTGCCATGTACAGTCTTTAAGTCACAGGTTTAAATATCGTGACTAAATATTGCATTCCAAGGGTCTGAAGAACTGAATTATAACCCACAGAAGTTCACATTGAAATAAACCTATCAGATGCAAAGGTGTGACAAGATCTTGTTTCTAAATGAATAACAAAAAATAAAACAGAAAAACAAAAAAAAATTCAAAAAAACAACAACAACCCCAGACTAAAACAGTTACTTTGTTGAAACCTGATATGGAAGCTGATAATTTTTACCCAAAAGTCTTTCTTCTGAAGTCTCTTTCTCTTTTGTTATTTAACCACTACTTGCTTAGATCTTGAAAAAGAGATAAATTTCCATTCTATCCTTTGCAAACATTAATGGGAACAGTAATGAGGAGACTTGTATTATTACAAATACAAAGCTTTTGCCAGCCTTCAGATGGAATAGTGTAATGCTCTTGAGCAGAACAATGTGATGTAAACCATCTCTCTTTGGTAAAATACTACAACTGATAGTAATTATGTTAGTCCCTCTTATGAAATTGAATGTGTAGTATTTTATCCTAGCGTAGCTTTCTGTAGCACTGGGATGAATATAGCCAGTTTGTTTTGGTTTTGCATGGCCACCTCCCATTTCTTAAAAATGCTCACAGAATTCCACCTCCTCCATCATAGTGTTTCAGCAGTGTAGTTGTCAAGAGTGCAGGTTTGCTGCCATCCACACCTGCTATTCTGAATCAGGAAGAGTAAGGCTGCTAAAGTTTCTTTCACTTTGCATCAAAACTCGGGATAGAAAGTGGTAACTATGTAAGGCTTGTCAGCTCTGACTAGGTTTGAACAAATCAGTCACATGCTTCTTCTTCCAAAACTGCTTCATGAGGACAGCAGCTATCAGCAGGAAAATGTGCCCAAAGCTCTTCTAAGGTATGCAAGACTTCAACAGGCACTGTAACTTGGGTTATGATAATAGGATCACAGAATGATTGAGTTGGAAGGGGCTTTATAAGGTCACTGAATCCAACCCCCAGTTCAATTCAGGAATCCAGGTCAAGCAGATCTGACAAATGGTTGTCCAAATGTCTCTTGAATGCTTTTAGTCTGCTGTTTGGTCCAATGAGGGGATGAGTTGGTTCACTCCTTTTTCCAGCAATCACACAATATGATCACTGGAATGAAGCAAATCATCCCTTCAGCATGCCTACCTGCACCTTTCTGAGAGTTCTATTTTTTAAAAAAATGCAAGTAGGGTTGCTCTGGTTTGGTCCATTTCCAGCATATTTTATAATTGGGAATGAATCAAAAGCATGCCTTCTGGATGTCAAGTCTCCTTCCAGTTTGAATTTCTAGTACCGAGAACTAGTTTAATCAGCGAGCCACTTCAGGATATTAGCAAATTAAACTCTCCTCTGTTCCTTGGCAAAGGAGCAGGGGAAGTGAATTTTTTAAAGACTGTACAGTGGGGTCTCGACTTACGAACGGCTCGACACACGAACGTTTCAACTTACGAACCGCTCTCATAGGAATATATGGACTCGACTTACGAACTTATATTCGAGCTACGAACTCTTTTTTTCCTTTTTTTAAAAGCTAAGTCATCTTAGGTTAAAAGGAAAACAGAAAAAAATATCCCCCTCTAGTGGCAGAAGGCGGAATAGCAGCTTCCCATTAGTTTCTATGGATGAAAAGAGCAGATACGGATTAAATGGTTTTCAATGCATTCCTATGGGAAATGCAGATTCGACTTAAGAACTTTTCGACCTGAGAACTGCCTTCTAATATGGATTAAGTTTGTAAGTCGAGACCCCACTGCAGTAGACGACTGCTGATTATTAAAAAAATTTCTTTGCCTTCTTCCGAGTGGCTGGTTGAGAAGCTGCCTGCCTGCAACTTTAAGACAAAGCAAACATATATTTAAATTTTTTAAAATAAATGATTGTCTACTACAGTGTAAAAAAAAAAAATAGAAGCCCTGCTTAAAAAGTGGATGATTCACCGATATCCTGAAGTGGCTAGCTTATTAGCCACTTTATTATACTGAAAATTCATATGGAAAAGATCAGACCAAATAGGGTCACTTGGGCTCCAATATGCCACCTGGATGAGAGAACTGCATCAAACAGCATTTAACACATCTAATCAACTCCAAGAGATCCTATTTAGCCCACACCAGCTTACCCCAAAAGGACCCATGTAGGCAAGTGCTTGTACTGATATCAGATCTAAAGTCTCTTTTTAGCTGTTAAGCGAAATCGTCGTCAAGTGAAATTTAAAAACCCATTGAAACGCATTGAAAACCGTTCAATGCATTCCAATGGGCGAAATACCTCATTGTGCAGCAAAGATCCTCCATAGGGCGGCCATTTTCCGGTGCCTGTATAGCGAGGAATCCGTCCTAAAAACAGCGGGGAGCCATTTTGCACAGTGGGCGGCCATTTTGCGACCTACCGAGCAGCTGCTTGGAAATCATCATAATGCAAAGAATTGGTTTCCGAAGCAGGGAACCGATCGTTGTGAAGTGAATTTTCCCCATAGGAACATCATTTTGCGATCGCAATAACAATCGCAAAAAACCATCGTAAAGCGGATTTGTCGTTTAACGAGGTAATCGTTAAGCGAGGCACCACTGTATCTACCTATCTATCCATCTATCTGTCTATCTATCTATCTTCTCTTGCCCCGCTGAGGAAGTGTTTGATTCACTGTGTATATGTGTACACACACACACACACGTGTGTGTGTGTGTGTATACTAGAGATGGGGGTATTTGTATTCATATACACATACTCCCACACAGGTGGACATAACGAAGGTCTGGCCCCTACCCCTCCACTGCTGCTGCTGGCTCCAATCCAATGTGTAAAATTATAACAGATATTACACAGGTGTCATGAAATCCCAGCTCTGTCTCTTCTATTTTTACATGAAGCATTCTAAATCAGACTAATTTTCTGGCTCTGTGTCCAAGCTCTGCTCTGCTTGCAAAACTTGGTGATTCTTTGCCACTTTCCTTTGTTGTCCCAAAATCTGCACCATTCCATTGAAAACATAAGGCTTCACAAACCGAAACAGTGGGGGGAAGGAGGGAAGGATGCAACACTCTACCCAAGATCTAATAATTAAATCTTCTTTCCAGTGTAAAATGATGATACTGCTTTTCTTAAAATTAAGAATTAAATATCCCCTGTCAAGGATTAGACTAATATACAAAAGCACACAACATACCAGAGGTAGCTGCAATGACATGAGGGCCACTTCCATAACTCAGGCAAGTTATTTTTTTCCCGCATAAAATATCTAATCTTCTGGGTTCAATAGTGCTTTGCAAGTCACCAATTCCTAAACAGCCACTGCAATTAGTGCCAAGTGCAAAAACCTGTTGAACAGTAACAATAGTAAGAAAAAAAATTAGAAATTATAGTACTGTTTATCTTTGGCAGTGTAATAATTATCACTACCTGATTTACATGCCTGGATATTTACCAGATAATAGCTGAAATCCTGTCAACACTGCATAAGGGTGAAGATGCATCAGCCACAGCAACTTTTCAGAAATAAAACATTTCCATCTTCTCCCTTAAAGGTCCCAAGGCCCCTGTGGAATCCCCTTCATTGGTAGGAAGCTGATGGGAACCATTGGAGGAAGTCTTTAATTACTGAAAATCACTGCCAGTGAGGTAGTCATCATAGTGCCAGTGATGTTCAGTGATTAAAGACTTCGTCCCTCAGCCCATGGCCACCAACAGCATCCCAACAATGAATGGGATTCCATTAGACTCTTGGGTCCTTTGGGGGAGATACAGAAATCTTTACTGGTAAAAATTTGCCATGTTGATGAAGTCATGAGCCTTACACGGTATATAACAGGATTTAAGGTATTATTAATCACAGTTCTACTCAAGTTGTGTATTGTGCATTAAATAAAAATAAAAATCTGCAACAGGAAAAACTGAATTTGGCACCATATGAAACTGTACACATTAAGCACACTTACTCATATAATGTACAATGATCTCTACTGCCTTCTGCTACTACGAGTTAAAAACGTAGATACTATGCAGGAAATAAAATCCTCATGCCCTGAAATTCTTAAAACAAATGAGTGACCAGGCAAAAAAATCAGGAATGCTGGATTCTACACTTGCATGGAATAATGAAATATCTATAACTCGATTTATGATATAAAGGCAAATAAAATGTAATAGCCATGCCTCCCAAGTTACCTCATCATTCTTAGTTACATAAAGTGCTTCATTGCCAGCACAGCCATATACACAAGCCTGACGGATTAACTTCAACTCTTCTTGAGAGTGGAGAGCAAATATCGGCCATTTCCCAACATCTAGCATCTTCTTTTTCAGTCAGAAAGTATGATGCACAGCCAACCTAGAGACAAACAAACACAAAATTTTAGAGGTACCTTCTATTGTTTTAGAACTAAACCACTGTTTAGAGAAATTGGAAAAGAAATGGCATATTAAAATAAAAGTTGAATATCTAGTATCACTTTGCTACAGCCAATTTATATTGGAATCAAAAGTTGTTGTTTTTTCAGATTAAAATAAAATAAAAGTGGTTAGGCCTCACTTTGAATATTGTGTCCAGTTCTGGACACCACACTTCAAGAAGGAGGCTAACAAGTTGGAACAAGTTCAGAGGAGGGCTCAAGGATGGTCAGAGAGCTGGAAACCAAGCCTTATGAGGAAAGACTGAAAGAATTGGGCTGAAAGAACATTTTCTCAATGTTTAGCCTTGAGAAAAGACTGAGGGGTGATATGATAGCACTTTTCAAATATTTGAAAGACTGTCATACATAGGAGGGACAAGATCTGTTCTCAATCATCCCAGAGTGCAGGACATGCAACAACGGGCTCAAGTTAAAGGAAGCCAGATTTCAGTTGAATATCAGGAAAAACCACCTGTTAGAGCAACACAACAGTGGAACCAGTTACCTTGGGGGTTGGTGAGTGCTCCAACACTGGAGGCATTCAAGAAAAATGTAATCACCTGGCAGATATGCTTTGATTGTATTCCTGCATTGAGCAGGGGACTGGACTTGTTGGCCTTGTAGGCTCCTTCCAACTTCACTTTTCTATGATTCTATGAAAATCCAGAATACTCCAGCAAAAAAAGTAGTGTTCTTTGTTGACTTGGTCAACAGATATAGCTCTATGTACTAGAGTATAAGCCTAATTTTTCAGCACATTTTTTTTTGCTGAAAAAGCACCCCCTCGGCTTATACTTGACTCAGTGTCAAAATTACATTTTCTCCCCTGCAATGCAGGTGTTCTCTGGACTCCCCCACTCATCTGTGGGTGCCAGCAGCCTCTGTGGGTGGTCAGATGACCCAGGTTAAGTACACTGCATTTCCGCTTCCAGGACACCCCATCCTCCTCCTGCTGCATATTCTATGTACCCACCTTCCTCCTCCCACCTTCGTCCTCCGTCTCCCTCCATCTTGTTACACAGCAGTAGAGCAGTAGATAAGCACTTCCTCCGCAGTGAAGTGTGTCTCGCAGCTCAGAAGGGCAGTATCTTCAAAAACATTTAACCTACTGATGCCTCAATTAATGTAATTTTATTGGTATCTATTTTTATTTTTGAAATTTGCCAGTAGCTGCTGCATTTTCCACCCTCAGCTTATACTTGAGTCAATAAGCTTTCCCAGTTTGTGACAAAGTTGGGTGCCTCGGCTTATATTTAGGTCGGCTTATACACGAGTATAAGCTGTAACTAAATATGGTAGAAATGCAAGAGTAAAGTCCTGGAATGACATAACAAATACATCACATTGTAGTAGTTAGTAGTTATGTTTCATCTAATAATTTCTGATTTATGGCAACCCTACAAATTAATGACCTCCACAAGGCCTTACCATTAACATCCCTGCCTCAGGTTTTACAAACTAAAGGCTGTGAGTTCTTTTATTGTGTCGTTGTTGTTTAGTCGTTAAGTCGCTTCCAACTCTTCGTGAACCCATGGACCAGAGCACGCCAGGCCCTCCTGTCTTCTACTCCCCCGGAGTTTGGTCAAATTCATGTTGTGTTAATCGATCTCAAATCAGTCTTCCTTTTATCCCTCACTGGTGACTCTTGTCATCTTATAATATTTCCAAAGAACGACAGCCTCAGTCATTTCTTGTTGAGAATTCAGGCTTGATTTGATTTGGAAGCCATTTATGTGTTTTTGGAGGTCCATGGTATCTATAAGCTCGTCTTCAATATCCCATTTTGAATGAATCAATTTTTTTCCTATCAACTTTATTTATAGCTTCCACATCTATACAAAATAATCAGGAATAGTATGGATGACACTTGTTTCAAGAGACATATTCCATTCAGGAACAGAACACCATTTAAATAGATGTTTGCCCTCATATTCAACCTCTCCTTCTCCAACAGAGGCAATAAAGTAGAGTGGTGATAATCCAATCCAATCCAGTTTATGCTAGTTTTCTACTTGCAGGCTATTCTTCATACAAAGATATATGTGTAAATGTGATGCAAATAATATCCTGCAAGTGGAACTCGCATTGCTGGAGTGGACTGGACTATAACCTCTCTCCCCTATGGATACTGCATTGGTGAGAGAAATTTAATTTGAACAGAGCTGTTTTTGTGGTTCATGTGGTATTCCCTTCCCAAAATGGTACATTCTATTCTGCCACCTCAGAATGCTGCAACAAATATAGACAAGCCCCTCCCCACTTTCTGATCTTCACAGGACATAAAGGAAGATTCTACATTTGGAATATTGCCAGTAAAAGAATAGGTAATATATGTTGGAGTTTCATTTGCAACCTTGCAAGCTGTCTGTAGTTTGTGTGTCTGGGAGGGATTTTTCTGGGTTGGGGTGATTATCCATCCAGCATTAATCAATAGTCCCTTCTGGCCTTTGATTTCAAAGAGAGACCCATCTGTCTGGGTTGGTGGCAGTTACAGTGGTGCCTTGCATAGCGAGGTTAATCCATTCCGGATTAACCTTCGCTATGTGAAAACTTCGCTAAGCGGAAAGTAAAAAGCCATCGGCCCAAAACTCACCGTTTAGCGAAGTTTTCAGGGTCCGGCAGCCATTTTCGCGCCCTCGGTAAGCGAGGGGAGGGTGCGAAAACGCTGCGCGCGGCCATTTCGGGCGTCCGGCGGCCATTTTGGAGCCGCCCAACAGCTGGTTTTCGGGCGTCGCAAAGCGAAGATCGGTAAGCGAAACGCTTACCGATCTTCGCTATGCGAGTTTTGTCCATCGGGGCCGACCCTATGCCTCCGCATTAGCGATCCCGGAAAAGGGATCGCTATGCGGATTCGTCTCTATACAAGGCGCTCGTTAAGCGAGGCACCACTGTATTTATTTACTATTAATCTCTTTGGTTGGTTGCTAAGTATGTGTGCAGTAAAGGAAGCAGCATACACAAGTCTGTAACTTCAAGTTGTCAGTGATCAGCTCCCCTAGGGGATGCTTGACCATTCGGACAAAGAGTAATTAGAAGCTTGTGCTCCCTCATTAGGCTGAGTCGCGTCCTGGTAACTTCAACCAAGGGCCGCCCCAACACTTCTGCTTACAAGTCTGCCCTAAAACGATACTTCAGCAACCTTAGAAAATTCCAAAAAAGAAAAACACATGAGCTATGTAGTCAGTAGACTCACTTTGCTCAATCTGGATAGGACTCAGTAGCAAAATGTGGCCCAATATTTCCCCCTCAGGGTAATACTAAGACAGCTCCACTGTTCAAGAGACCAATTGATTTTTATAATTATTATTTTATTAAGAAAAATATAGAAATTCACAAAATAAAGTCAGTTTAATGCATAAGCAAGCATGTTATCATTTTCAAGGATTGATACAAATTATAAATGAAGCAATAATTCTCTTTAAATACAAAAATACTAAAAATCCTAGAAAAATCTATAAAAAGCTCTATTAGGGTGGGCAAAAGGCTTAAAGCCTCCCTTTCCACCTAATCACCTACATCTCTATCAGTCTGTTACCTGCACTGCACAGCAGGCAACAAGACCTAGCAAACTGTAGTCCAAAAAGGTCCAAAATGAGGAATCAGGAAAAGGCTATTGTCCATAGTAAGAGTTCCTAGCTGGAACCCCCCCCGTTCTTCTCCGTCTCTCACGCTGTCATCCAATCACAGCATGAAGTCAGGTAAACAGTCTCGCTTTATCTTCTCTCTTCTCTTCTCATGGGAAACAGGTGTTGTTTTCCTCAGTATGTTTGCAATTCCGCCAAAACAAATGACCAGTCTTCTTATCTTGGAATGTCCTCCTCAGGCCTACAGGAAAACATTCCCACATCCCTCTAAAAACACATTGTCAGCATGCAGAAATCATTTAAACAGAGAACCAATATGGAATCCATTTTACATTGTTCACTACTACATATCCCATCTTCAGTACAAGACTTAATCCACATAAATCAATCCATGACACAAGTAATTAAGTCAAGAAATGTATTTATTCTTTTTCCTACAAATGTATCCTACAAGTGCCAGCCAATGAGAAAAAGGTGGACTCTGGGGAACTTCAAGCTACCCCGTTTCCCCGCAAATAAGACCTAACCTGAAAATATGTCCTAGTATGATTTTTCAGGATGCTCATAATATAAGCTGTTCTTTGTTTAGTCGTTTAGTCGTGTCCAACGCTTTGTGACCCCATGGACCAGAGCATGCCAGGCCCTCCTGTCTTCCACTGCTTCCCAGAGTTGGATCAAATTCATGTTGGTAGCTTCAATGACACTGTCCAGCCATCTCGTCCTCTGTCACCCCCTTCTCCTCTTGCCTTCACACTTTCCCAACATCAGGTTCTTTTCCAGAGAGTATTCTCATGAGATGGCCAAAGTATTGGAGCCTCAGCTTCAGGATCTGTCCTTCCAGTGAGCACTCAGGCTTGATTTCCTTCAGAATGGATAGGTTTGTTCTCCTTGCAGTCCAGCGGACTGTCAAGAGTCTCCTCCAGCACCACAATTCAAAAGCATCAATTCTTCAACAGTCAGCCTTCTTTATGGTCCAGCTCTCACTTTCATACATCATATATGGAGTATATGCCATATCCCTAAAATAAGCCATGCTTAAATGAAACCCCGCCCTCCATCATTGTGCAGCAACCAGAAGATGACATGACTGTATTTGAATAAATGTAGATTGTTGATCTGGATGTCCCAGACAACCCAGAGAGTGTGGTTGCTGACCTTGAGCCAGACATCCTGGAGAGTGAAGTCAAGTGGGCCTTAGAAAGCATGGCTAACAACAAGGCCAGTGCAGGTAATGGCATTCCAGTCAAACTACTTAAAATCTTAAAAGATGAAGCTGTTAAGGTGCTACACTCAATATGCCAGTAAGTTTGGAAAACTCAGCAGTGGCCAGAGGATTGAAAAAGATCAGTCTACAT